GAACATTATTTTACGTTAAAAAACAGATTCACTAAAGCACAGAACATTATTTACGTTAAAAAACAGATTCACTAAAGCACAGAACATTTATTTTAACGTTAAAAAACAGATTCACTAAAGCACAGAACATTTATTTTAACGTTAAAAAACAGATTCACTAAAGCACAGAACATTTATTTTAACGTTAAAAAACAGATTCACTAAAGCACAGAACATTTATTTTAACGTTAAAAAACAGATTCACTAAAGCACAGAACATTTATTTTAACGTTACAGACAACTTAACATGTATCTGTCTAAGAAGAAGACTGTTGATGTCATTATTGCTCAAACAAATCTACATTTGACAACCTTTTCATAATCACAACATCGTTATATTTAGTAACCAAAGACTAACCTTCTACTGTCAACTTGTTGTTATTGAATGCTACCTTCAAGTCTATCCTTCCCCGTCTCTCAGTATGATCACACCCGCACAGATTTGGGATACTCTCCTGGCAGCGGTTGTGGACATTCATGTCACATGCTAAAATATAAAGTATTACAAAACTTAACACACCCGACACAGATTTGGGATACTCTCCTGGCAGCGGTTGTGGACATTCATGTCACATGCTAAAATATAAAGTATTACAAAACTTAACACACCCACACAGATTTGGGATACTCTCCTGGCAGCGGTTGTGGACATTCATGTCACATGCTAAAATATAAAGTATTGTAAAACTTTAAACCAACAAATGGAAATTATGTTTAGCCTGCAGGTTCTAAGCTACAGAGTTTTATATATGTTGTGCATGTATTATATCTTACACCAAAAAAAAAACGAATCTGTTACACTGTTTTTCTGAGAAAAAAACAACAACAAAATTTTGGCATATTTGTTACAAATTTTAGAGATCAGGGTTCTAAGATACCACCATTCTGATCAGGTTCTTAAGATGTATAATATATTCACAAACCCAGAGTATGAAGAATTTTTTTTAAAGCACACAATGATCTATCTGTGTTGTGTACGCCATGATTAATGAAATCCAGTTTTTAGTGTTGTAAGCCTTTAGACTTACTACTGAGCTAACTGAGGGATGAAGAAAATATTTTCAACTACTTCACCAAAAAGGAAATTTATTAGCTCTTCAAAGATTACAATATTGAACTCGAGTTTACTAGATAACCAATTGTATACAAAGATTACAATATTGAACTCGAGTTTACTAGATAACCGATTCAATACAAAGATTACTATATTGAACTCGAGTTTACTTTATAACCGATTCTATACAAAGATTACTATATTGAACTCGAGTTTACTTTATAACCGATTCTATACAAAGATTACTATATTGAACTCGAGTTTACTTTATAACCGATTCTATACAAAGATTACTATATTGAACTCGAGTTTACTTTATAACCGATTCTATACAAAGATTACTATATTGAACTCGAGTTTACTTTATAACCGATTCTATACAAAGATTACTATATTGAACTCGAGTTTACTTTATAACCGATTCTATACAAAGATTACTATATTGAACTCGAGTTTACCTGATAACCGATTCTATACAAAGATTATTTATTGAACTTGAGTTTACTTAATAACCGATTGTATACTACTAATACCACCGCTGCAGTGATAACAACAATACAGTTATAACTATAATGAGCAGACGTTGTTAATTTGATGCAAAAAAGTTATTTCAAGTGATTCGAGTACGTTTCATAGATCACAAGAGACATACATACGAGAAAATCATATTTTCAGCCAAACATGATTTAATGTACTGGAGTTTGAGAGTTTAAATGTGTGTACATAAACCTCTCGAAGAATGGCATTTCTTTCACCACTGAAGCATATGACCATATATTGTATTATCACTAGTATTCTTTCAGTGTATATTTTACAAATCCAGACATGATAAATACAAATAAATCATCTATAGAATGTTTCCTAACTAACAAAATACAGTTCCAAAATTTTAACAGGAACTATTTCAAACTTTGAAAGACTTACAGCCAAATACTTCTTACAAGCTAAAAATCTTTTGATAGAATAACACAAAATTTTAAACCTTCCTGCTTTGTGTGAAGTATGTAATAACATACTACTTCAGCAACAGAGTTATTACTACAATCTCGGAATGAATTTTACTCCGAAGCCATTTATGGGATGAGTTTCTTCCATTTGTAAAAAAACGTAAAAAAAATTATACTAAAGAAATTTATATAATAACAATTCACATAAACAAAAGATACATTCCTGACCTTCCACAAAGAATCTCAGTGTGAAAACATTAATATAACTTAATTAACAGAAACTACAGATTCACAATAACTTTAGCAGAGTTGAAAGTCAGCTTCAGTCATTCACAACAAGAATGGATCAATTATATTAAAAATGCAACTTTAAGCCACATAGGAATGGAAATAAAGGATTTGATCTTGATGTTAAGACCTTGTGATACGAAGATAATTGTGATTACTGGCATATAACGTATTGATTGAAGATACAGTGCATCTATTATTTTCATTACTATATGGGAGAGAATGCTTCAATTTTGACGTTTAAATATTTGGCAGGTAGTGAATTTTCATGGAAGGATAAGGTAATGTAAAGGCTCCCCTACATCCGGGAGAAAACAAATTATCTGCTTTTTTGCCAGCATGAATTGAAATATTTCAACTGGATATAACCGAATGGTTTAAGAGTAGGTGAATTTATCAAAAGTACATTAAATTTACAAACAGTAGCTTAGATATTACCACGAATATAAACTTGACATATCCTGTATTTATTTGGTTTATGACCAATGGTGGAGGAGGTGTGCCAATTTCGTATATTAGAGTGTTTTACCCATCATCATGTCCCAAGTTGAACAAAAACTGCGGCCTAGCTAACTAATGAATGAATATTTGCTGTAAAATTCTTATCAATGCTATAAGTGTAGCCACCAATTTAGCCTTCAATTTTGACTTCATTCCTTTAAGTTCAGTTCTTTTTTGTAGCTGCACCTTTTTTTTTTTCACACCAAAGATATTTTTGATTACATTAGAATTACTTGACAGTAAAAACCAGCCTTAAAAATTATAATTTTTATTTTGACGGTTGCAATGGGAATTCGAATAATGAAAGAAACTTAACTTTCGCACGTTGAGTTCCATTTCAAAACCTGATACCCCATGTTATTTATTTAACTATGACGAGGATTACGTGTTGGCCGAGTGTACATTATATATATTCAGTTATTGAAGACACAAAATACCGTTATGTCGAATACATAATACTTGTAGTATACGTTTTATAGGCTATCCAGTGCTTGGTGACCACACGTCCCTGTTTGGACCTGGAAAGTAACATATGTCCTGGTTTTAACTTATCGTATTTTGATTTTTGCTAGGTGACTCCATATTTGCCTTAATATTCAAATTTTTAAAGAAAACTAGAATCTGATTTTTGAATATTACTGTCGTAACTGGAAACGAAAAATAGCAGATATTATCAACATTAAATTTCGATTTTCAATTGTTTGTGAACAATATAAATGACAGCCTGTTGCAGTGACATCACCAATCACGCGAACAAGTGAGGGATGTAATGTTTTCAGACTTTGCCGCCATTTACGTTCAATATTAGTTTTTGCTGGTTTTTTTAATTTCGCGCAAAGCTACACGAGGGTTATCTGCGCTAGCCGTCCCTAATTTAGCAGT